GATAAGAACTTGGTGCGTGCGTGGAAGAAGTGGGACACACAACATAATTCTGAAAACGATCAGCCATTGGCGTTTCCGGAAGAACAGGTTTGGTCGCCACTGCAAGGCTTGGATATTAAATCTATTGACATCTGTGTCAGCTTTATGTTGTCTTTGTCCTTGCTGACGGAGGCACGGACTTGGAAAGCTTTGAGCTCCTCAACTATGAGGAAGTTAAAAGCCTATTGCTACAGGTATGTGAGCTTCGCTTCTCAAGCAAACAAGCAATAACTCTGTCGCAGGTTGTTCTCTCGCTTGCAGTTGCGGAGCAGGCATATGGTTTCGAGCATCGGGACTTGCACTGGTACGAGGAGTTTATTCTCTTAAGTTGTGTCTAATTTTTGTAGTGCAGGGGCAACATTGTCTTGTCCAGGGATCAACACGAGCAGCTTGACTTCAGATTAGAAAACAGGCATTTTCTAGTGAATACGCACGGTTTATCAGTGGCATTGATAGATTTTACTTTATCCCGCATTGACACAGGTACGTTCCTTCAGTCATGCGGCTTTCTTTCTTGACAATGACAATGGCTTTCATTTCTTGATTTTTGTCCCAGGAAAGCAAGTCGTATTCTGTGACTTGTCAGATCCGTCGTGGTTTGAAGGACCAAAGGGAGACGTCCAGGTAGCCAACAGGAAGTTCACTGTTATTCATTTCTTGATTCTTTTTATTTTGCAGGCTGACACGTATAGAAGAATGAAAGATATAACAGGCGGACAATGGGAAGGCAGGCAAGTGTTTAACGATTCTGATCGACAGCGAAGTGATTGCGTTTTGATTGTAGTTTCCCAAAGAATAACAGCGTGTGGATACACTACGTTGCGGAGATCATACGCAAAAAGAAGTCTTTCGTAAGTGGTTAACCACTCAATTCTCTCTCTCACACACACATTTCTCTTTGTCTTATGTAGAAATCCAGCGCCAAAGATAAGCGTGCCTTGAGTGCTTTCTCGAAACGCTGCCTGAGCTACGAGTCCGCCACTGCGATTGTTGACGACGAGATCTTCCAGAAAATGTGGAGAAAAGAGGTAACTTTAAACACTCCCGGGAACTAAAGAAATCTCTCCATTTTCGATATAGATATACTCGAGCCAGCATGAAGAACATGCAAATCGCGAAGAAAGTGTCAACTTGCCGGGATAAAGCCGGTAAAGAGATAAAGTTACTTATTATCCGCTAGCCTTTTGTCTCTTTTTCATAGCCGGGTCACGGGTTCGATTCCCTTCCCGGGGCAAAAAACGTGGACGTGATTCATGGCACTCACGCCGCAGCTTAGGTCTGGGCGAGGAGGAGCAGCAGCATGGAGCGGCGCTTGGCGGACCCGGCATTCTCTTGGATACCTCTAGATCCACCGCCGCGTAATTCGCGATCGCCTCCTCCTCTTCCCTCTTTCTCCTCTCCATCGCCGCGGGAAGATCAAGATCAAAGATTTCGCCGGCGGGATGCGCGCCATTTCGCGAGATGAACGAGAGTAGCCCGGTCCCTGGCCTTGTGCTTGGATCGGCGGATTATCGCGCTGCCGATCGCGCATCGGCATTCGATCTGGCTGATCCGGGCTCGTTTCTTCCAGGTTCTTCCGGGTGCTAGGGTTTGTGTCCTAGGGTTAGTTGCTAGCAAGACGAGATGACGGATAAGAAACCAGAGGATCATCCGCAAGAAGCTCGCAACGAATCAAAATCTGGCAAGGAAGGGGAGGACGAGGAAGCCGAGTTTGTGGAGCGTGATCCAACAGGGCGATATGGTCGGGTAAGCTTTGATCGCTTAAAATCTCTCTGGTAGCTTTTTAAAGGTTTTTGTCTGGCGTGTGCAGTATAATGAAATTCTTGGGAAGGGAGCGTTTAAGACTGTGTAAGTTAGCTTAACAAAAAAAACTTTTGCTTCTTCTTGGTACTTAGAGAGGTTTTGTTTCTGTTTAATTGTCTTTGTTTCCGCAGATACAGGGCTTTCGATGAAGTTGACGGGATTGAGGTGGCGTGGAACCAAGTTAAGGTGGAAGATGTGCTGCAAAGCCCCGAGGATTTGGAGCGTCTCTACTCCGAGGTTCATCTTCTCAAATCCTTGAAGCACAAGAACATCATCAAGCTCTACAACTCGTGGGTTGATACCAAGACGAAGAATGTCAACTTCATCACGGAGATTTTCACGTCTGGCACTTTGCGACAGTATGTTTTGATATCTAGTAATTGTTTCTCGAAGCTCATGTGATCGTCTTTTGTGTGAAGGTATCGCAAGAAGCACAAGCATGTCGACATGAGAGCGGTCAAGAATTGGGCAAAGCAAATACTACGCGGCTTGCTCTATCTTCACAGTCATAATCCTCCTATTATTCACAGGGATTTAAAGTGCGACAATATCTTTGTGAATGGGAACCAGGGGGAAGTGAAGATTGGAGACCTTGGGCTTGCAGCTATCTTGCGACAGGCGCATGCAGCACACAGTGTCATTGGTAAGCTCCGGTGTTACGGTCTTTTAAATAGCAGCGTTTTTTGTTACAGGAACACCTGAGTTTATGGCTCCTGAGCTGTATGAAGAAGAATATAATGAGCTAGTGGACATTTACTCGTTTGGAATGTGCTTGTTGGAGATGGTCACTTTCGAGTATCCCTACAGCGAATGTACGAATGCAGCACAGATATATAAGAAAGTGACCTCCGTAAGTTCTCGTGTTAGCACTAAATTAACATTTGACTTGACCGCTGTTTCATCAGGGGAAGAAGCCAGCTGCACTTGACAGAGTGAAGGATCTGGAAGTCCGAGCTTTTATTGAGAAATGCCTGGCGACTGTCTCCAAAAGGCTCCCAGCAAGAGAGCTACTCATGGACCCGTTTCTTCAGAGTGAAGACCGCGAACCGCTTGAGTTGGTACCACCGATATCCCGCTCAACATCAAGAGCAGACGATATGGAAGGTCTCTCAACGATCAAAGAGGAGCCGTCGTGCAGACCTGGGTCCGTTGATTCGACCAGCAGGAGAACCGAAGCTTCTCCGACCAGGGACGGAATCATGGGTGACGCCGCCCGAACGAGCGATGAAAATAAAGAGGGTGACGACGCTCCTTTTGGAGCTTCTAGCCCTGAGCAAAGCCAGACGGATTCAGATCAAGGCGGCCTTGGAAGCTATCAGAAGGGAGTTTCTTTCAGGGAAGAAGGAAAACGAAGCAGAGACTTCAGGGTGAAAGGGAAGAAGAAAGACGACGACACGATATTTTTGAGAGTTCGCATTGCAGACTTGGAAGGTGGGTCTCAGCTTTTTATGTGCACTGTAGCTTAACTTTTCGCTTTACAGGTCACGTTCGAAACATCCACTTTCCGTTTTCCATTGAAGGGGACACAGCTATGAGTGTCGCCAGTGAAATGGTTGCCGAACTCGACCTCTCAGACCAGGATGTCACAACCATCGCTGAAATGATTGATGCGGCAATCGTGGCTTTGGTTCCCGACTGGCGACCCGGGGCTTCTTTTGAGGACAATGGTGTGACAGAGGTGGATGATCAAGCACAAGCGAGAGAAGAAAGTCCGTCGGTAGCTCAAGTGTCTGTACCGGAGGAAGTTGAGTCACCTTCTGCAGTAGACGCGACCTCGGACGACGAAACACGAACCGAAAGTCCGACTGTTGAGGCTGGTCAAGCAAGTGTGAAATCACGGTCTCCGAGAACAGGGCCCTTGTCGTATTCTCCTCGACTGGAGGGCACTTCGTCCTCCATGCACGGCAGATTTGAAGAGGTCACATATCACCCGGAAGGATCCGACCAGTATGATGCACCTCACATCTTCTCAAGTGGTTCCTCGGAAATTCGCGAGGATGGCGATGACTGGGATCTCACAGGAGAAGTCAGCTCTCCGGTGGCAACCTGTCAGGGAACCTTTTGCTTGGACGTGAAAACCGAGCAGACGCCAACGAATCTTCTCAAGATTGTGGAGCATCAAAACGTGGACTCGGACGGGGCTGGCTGCAACGAGGTGCTGGTTACCATCAAGAGCAGCGGGTGTCCAGAGCAGCAGATGGTGGTGGAGACCTCGGAGGATGCAGTTAGCGGTCCAGAAGGTAGCTCCGACATAGCAGTAGCAGCAGTAGCAGCAGCAACAACAACAACAGTAGCCGCGGTTACAACAAGTTCGGCCGAGCAAGATGAGTCCATTGCCCGGGAGTTAAAGCTGCTAGCGCTGCGACAAGAGCAGGAGCTGAGGGAGCTGCAAAGGAAGCACGAGTCGGCTCTTTTGGAGATAAGGAATAGGTGCCGGTGCAAGCGCAGTAGCAGCCTGAGCTCTCCTCAGTCCAGCCCGCACAACCAAAACATGGACTCGTTGAGCCGGCTGCTGGACACGGACTTCGACTTGCAGCAACTGGTGGCTTCGCAGGCGGTGGACACTGCAGCTCAAGAAGCTCTTCCATTCGACTGCGACGCTGGGGAGACGTCCACAGCCTACAGGATCAGCACAGCCGGCACTTCGTCGTCACCATCAACTTCTTTGAGCGCCGTGTGCAAGCCCGACGAAGGATTTTGCTTCTTCGACCAGGAGAGAGCAGTGGAAGACCACCACAGGCCGCCGTCGAGTCCATCGTCCGCTTCATGCAGCAACGATTGCTTCGCCGACTTGGTGGACATAGCCAAGGCAACGTCGCTAGCTCCGGAGCTGGAACGGACGCTCAAGCCGGCGGGGACGTGGCCCGAGTGTAGCTTCCTCAGCCAACAAGACGCGACGGGCAGGAAGGAGAATGGGCTTTGCGAGCCGGGCGCGCTGAGATACGAGACGCTGTTCGACGGCTCGGAGAGATTCGTGGACGCGACGTGCTCGGAGAGGCCGAGCTCCGAGATGGTGGGAGAGTTTAGTGGTAGAGAAGCTGTAGAGCCGGGGAAGCAGCAACAGGGATCGCTGGAGCAGCGGCAGGCTCTGAGGATTGGTGGTGGGATTTGCGAGAGAGACAAGGCCTCGAGCAGGGGAGTGGAGCGATCGGCGACGACGAGCAGCGTCCTGGTGCATCACAAGCAGGCTTGCTCGGAGGGCGAGATTGGATTGACTACGCTGGAGCAGCAGCGCAAGGAGCAGCTCCTCCAGAAGTCGATCGCGGAGCTCGAGGCCAAGACGCTCGAAGGCTTGCATCACTCGAGGAATGGCTACCTTGTGAGCAGCAAGAAGGCGGCGAGTGTGGGGATCAACCAGCAGCAGCAGCAACAACAACAGCAGCCGTAATGATCGATCTTCTTCCTCGATAGTTTTCTTTTTTTCCTCTCTTTCTCTCGTTTCGTTCGTTCTTTTTTCTCTTCAGTGAAGTAATATGTACAGGCCGTTTTCAGCTGAAAGTCTACGTGGCATGTGCGTTGGCAAAAAATGTCGCCACGTTTTTACCACGTCACTCGCCACGTTACTTTAAAGTGCTAGCTAGGGTTAGGGCTCACGCGCTAGGGTTTGATTGCGGCGGAGCCCCACATTTTCGGGAGAGAGCGAGCGCTGCCCCTGCCGCCATGGTATGATTTCCTTCGCGTTTGATTGCTCAGGGATTGAGAAGCTTATGATTTTGCGCAGCCGTCGCACAAGACGTTCCGGATCAAGCAGAAATTGGGCAAGAAGCTGCGCCAGAATCGCCCAATCCCTCACTGGATCAGGATGCGGACCGACAACACCATCCGGTAAATGCCGATAGAGCGCTTTCGTTTTCATCGGATATTCCTGATCTTCTTTTGGTTTAATCTTTCTTGTAGCTACAATGCCAAGAGGAGGCACTGGCGAAGGACCAAGCTGGGCCTGTGAGTTTGTGATCGAGTCGATGTTTTTCCCGAGATCAAAACTTTGTTAACCCGAATCGGGTATGGGTTTTTCTTTCTCTCGTTTTCTTGCGTTATTCTTTGCTTGTGTTTGATGCACACACTCGGGCAATTGGCTCTTTGGCACTGTCCTTAGCGTCAAGTCCTGGAAATAACCAATGTGTGCTAGATTGATGCTTGTCATTTCTTTGCACTTTGCATACCTCCATTGCATTTTGTGCTTTCTCAGTGACAAACAAAAGGCAGTGGAAACCATGGCCGGGTGCCGGTGATGCTTACTAGCTTTGCACGTATTACCTGAAGCTTTGGTGTAGAAAACAGGCTCTCTAGTCCTGAGGCATCCGGTTTGTTTCTATTCCTCTGTGTCGATGACGATACTTTTCGCAAGAGCGTGAGATTTCCGATGAGCTTTTGAGTTTCTGTTGTCACTACCACTGAGACACAACGAGGTTTGTATCAAGTGTGAAGAGCCAATCTAATTTTCTTCATAAGTTTAGAAGTAACATCGCTTTTTTGTGATCAAACTACTGAAAATTTCTGTCAAGTCTGATGACCCAATGTAGTTTTCCTCATAAGTTTCGATGTAACATTTTTGTTGCGATCAAACCAGTGAGCCAAGGAGAATTCTGTCAAGTGTGATGGATGGCCCAATGTAATTTTCTTCATATGTAACATTTCTTGGGTGTGATCAATCAAAGCACTGAGATTTCTACCAACTGCCATTACCCAATGTAGTTTTCTTCATAAGTTTGGAAGTAACAAGCCACACTCGTTCTAAGTTGTCACACAAGGAGATTTCTATCAAAGTGCGAAGACCCTACGTAAGTGACATTTCTTTGTTTTGATCTAACAGGATTTGACAATGGAAGGTGAGCAACCTGTGGAATTTAATTAGAGAATAGAGCGGTCAGAAAGCCGCACGTGGACCCGCTACACCTATCCCACGAAGTTTTAGCCTCCCAAAGAAGGATCTTCCAGCCCATGCCTTTCTCTTCTTCTTTCTTCGTGGTTTTTCCAAGCTTGAGCTTTTCCTTTAAGATCACTTGAGTTTCTTCGCGAAGGATCTGGAAAGCTCGGCTCGCTTTTCTTGCTTTGATTCCTGCTTTGATTCCCGGGCTTTCCTTCTCGATCCATAGGCTCTTAGTTTACTAAACCCCACACCGGAGGATTCTACCTGCCTGCCCTGCCTGCTTGTCGTTTACTTGTTTGCTCGGCAGTAAAATGCAGTAAAAAAAAAAGGAGGAAGTGTCACCATATGTCCCTGCTGCTGTCGGTCTCTATTGTGTCTACAGAGCGAGCACGCACGGTCGCTCTCCTCCTCTGCAAAACTTGCAGCCCATTCTATTGCTAGTGCCGCTACTCGTCCACCTTTTGCTCTTTCACCACCACCACCACCACCACGACCACTGTGCTGTGACAACACTTCTCGATCCTTTCCTATCGGCAGCAGACTTGAGTAGTGTGTGTACACTGTCTGTACTGTCTGTCACACTCTCCAGAAATCCTCTCCCTGTGTCCCAGTGCTGCCAGCGCTATGGTGCTACGTAGCCACAGCTAGAGATATACCAACGAGGCAATTCCTATCTACCTACCCTGTTCTTCGTCTCTTAGTTCTTGCTACTACTAAGTTCTTCTTTTTGCTTCACAGTGTCTGTCGCGGAAAAGGAGAGTTTTGATCGAGTCGTACCTTTGATGCGCTTTTTCCTAGGGATCCAAGAAGGAGCGTAGCGTTCCTCGGCTTGCGATGGATTTAGAAATGCCGAGCCTATGATTGTCTTCCTGTTGCAAAGAACAAAAGAGAGGAAAAGTTAGGAGGGTTAGAAACCAAGAAAGCTCTAACTTTTCCTCTGGAAGAAAGGTAGCAGGCTAGAAGTGGAAGGGACCGAGCGACCAAAGCGAAAATCTTGCTGAGTAACCAATCATAAGATCACTTACAACTTACCCGAGCAGATTAGCGAGAACGAGGAGCGCTCCTTCCGTTTTGGTTTGGTTCTCACCAAACTCATCTCAGATCTACACGCTCTTTTTTCCCCTGCCAATCATGGTGCAACACAAACCAGTTGAAAACGAAAGGAAAAACAAACTAAACAAAGAAAAAACAGCGAAAATTGTTTAAAGTGAAACTTATCTTGCATCAACTCTCTGCTGTAGGTTCCCTTGTCTCTAGCTTGCTAGCTACAGCCTGCCAGCCATGTTAATACCACAAAAGAAAGAACAAGTAAAAGAGTCAAAGCGACCCGACCTCACTTTAAAACTCCCGAGGGATCGCGTTTAGTAGCTAAGCGCCATCGAAGAGCACAGGAACTCCTCCGGGTCAACTCTGATGGAAAGAAAAAAGAAAAAAGGAAAGAAGAAAAATATAAATCCATGAATATATATATACTACATCTATAGCTTGCAGAACGGCAGAACACAACAGGAAGAAGAAAAAAGACAATGTGTATCGGCTTCCAGGCCCTGTTCACTGAGAGGTGAGCGCTCGAAAAAATTGCACTGATCTCTATGTGGGAGAACCAGAAGCGTCTAACACGCACCAAGCTGGAGAAGTAGCGAGGAGAAGAATACCTGGGTTTGGATGTTGTCGGCATGGAGATACCGGTCTCTTGCTCGTCTTCTTCAAGAGCTCCTCTCCTGTTACGGTGAGAAGCTGGCTCCTCGCAGTCTCCGGAGGATTTTCTGCTCATCTTTGCTCCCAGATTCTCGGCGCTTCTTCCATTTCTCCTATTTCTCCCATGGTCCTCCATCTGCATCATTTCCATGATCGCGGCTTGAAAGCGTAAAAGGAAAGAAGTCCTTACTTCACTTCCATACTTTGGCCGGAGGGATGAATCTGGAGGAGCCTCTGAAGCAGCTCTCCAGTGATTTGCTCAACCTTCTGGCCAACGGGCAGGCATTTAGCGATGTGACTTTCACAGTCGAAGGCAGGCCGGTCTACGCTCACAAGTGCGTCCTGGCAGCAAGAAGCCAATTCTTTAGGATGATCTTTTGCAGCAGTGAAGCTTCACAAGACATACCAGGACGGCCACCGATCCCTGTGGGAATTGTTGGATACGACGTCTTCATGCTCATGCTCCAGTTTCTATACAGCGGCCAATTATCTCTGGTCCCTCCGCATCCAACCGGTTGCAAAGAAGGCGCTTGCTGGCACGTCTACTGCAGATCAGCGGTGGATTTTGCTCTCGAGGCATTGCATGCTGCTCAAGTCTTCAGCATCGAGCAGCTCTCCATCTTAGTCCAGGTTTGCACTCGATCACTGAAGAAGGAAAGGAAAAAAAAACCCATGAGAGAGAGAGAGTGAGAGAGTTACTCCAAAGAGGAGAAACTTAACAGGAACTTTTCTGTGTACCTGTAGAGGGAGCTGGCCGGAATTGCTGAGAAAGCATCGATTGAAGACGTAATGCGGATACTTGCAGCGGCGAGGAAGCAGGACTTGCTCCATCTCTGGTCAGTCTGCTCCAAACTAGTAGCAAAGTCAGGTCTGTCCTCGGAAGTTTTACGAAAGCACTTGCCTGGAGAAGTAGTAGCCGAGGTAGAAGCCATCAGGCAAAAGTGTGGATACGGCTTCGAAGCGCATTCTAGCGATGCTTTGGACGACCAGCGGACGAGGAGGATGCAGAAGGCCCTCGACTCATCGGATGTAGAGCTCGTGAGGCTGATGGTGATGGGAGAAGGCCTCGACTTGGATAAAACTCTGGCCATCCACTATGCCGTAGCAAACTGCAGCCGCAAAGTCGTCAAGAATTTGCTAGAGCTGGGGGCAGCCAATGTCAATATGCCAGGTCCGGACGGAAGAACTCCGCTCCACATTGCTGGAGAGCTGGCCGACCCCGAGATGATAGCGGTCCTTCTCGACCACCACGCCGATCCACACTCCACCACTCCAACCGGTGCTACGGCGCTCAACATACTCCAGAACTTGGCGTCTGAGGCACTGGCGGTGGGAGCTCTCACGGGAGTGACTGCCGATCATAACAAGCTCAGGCTTTGCCTCGACTTGCTCGAGTCGGCTGCGGCTGTACCAGCGAGTTGCTCCAGAGACGAGGACGATAGCAGCAGCTCCATGTTGACGGAGCAGCAGCAGCAACGGGAGAGGCGGCTTCCCATGATGATCGGACAACCCGTGAGCACACCGAGTAGCACGCAACAAAGTGACCCTCCCACAATCCTGATGCATCAAAACTATTACCCCGTTATTTCTGCAAAAGGTACATGTCAAAACTCCCAGCAAACCTCTCATCAACCATGACACAGATTTTTTTTCTAGCTCTAGGTAGGAGAAAGAGAAATGCACCAAAAAAAAAAAAAGTTGAGAGAGTTTCGCTTTTGAAATTTTTTCTTTTTCTTTCAAATAAGCATTCTTCCCGACTGGGCAATGTTTTGGACACAGGACACTCGCCGACATGGAGTGAGCAGGAGGAGGTTATTGATCCAATGCCGAGATTGCTACCACTGACTCAGGACGCCTGTGCAGACGACTATGGACGGGGAGAACAATGGAGTTACGATTTGATTACGTGAAACTCTAAAACGAAAGTGGATACTGCATGAGGAACTGCTCAAAACTCTAAAGTTGAAGTCACTCAGGTTTTTGTTAACCATACCTCTCGTTAGATTGATCGCGTACGAGCTCTCGGATTCCAAAACATCCAAGTTCCAAACCTACGGAACCTGACGAAAAAAGAAAATCACGTAAGGTTGTTGTCAAGCAAGAAGACGGAAATAAAAAACTATGCAATCATCCATCGGAGCACAATAGTTTTTGATCCTGGACACTGCTTGTATTTTCTGTCAGGAGACAAACACGCTGAAAATAAAAACTAAGCAGGTCACTTTCGTGATCAATGCAAAGAATCGGCTTGCATCGTACTCCGCTACAGGCTTGAAGCTAGCTTCAACAAACAAGACTACGAATTAAATCTAGCTGGTGGGGTTGGCGGAGATGCAGAGCTCAGCATATCTTAAGCTCTCTTAAATCATGCAAAGTTCATTCCCTCTCCCATTCTATTACACCTTTTCTATTGCAAAGTTTCAAAGAAACCAGCCACCAAACTACCCAACGAAAGACGGAGAAGAAGAAAAAAGAGAAAGAAGAGTCCGCAAGCTTAAAAAGATCTACCAGGAAATCCTGACTCCTCACCAGCAAGCATGCATGCATCGGGTCAAGGTAACGCTTGAGGCACCGAGGTTGAAAAAACGGGTGAGAAAAGGAAAAAAGAAAAAAAAGAAAAAAGCGATGGCCGAAAGTAACAGACCAGCGTTGTTTGCTGATGAGCTCGACTCTGAGAAAAACACGGCCAAGCGAAAGAAAGAGCACCAAGTAAGTGAAACATGCCAGTGAGAAGTTAACAAGCAAAAATAGTCAATGGAAAGAGTGAAGGAAAAATAAACAAGACAAAGGAGCAATGCTTGGGACGAGAAATTCTTGCGCGATTAGAGATCACCAAGGAAGATTTAGAACCATTGCCACAAGTAACAAGCGAAATGATCAATGGAAGGAAAAGGGGGGTTTACAAGATCAAATACCAAATCGACGCCCCAAGAACAGAGACAACACTCGGATCATCTAAACTCACCCCAGCCAACACAAATCGAATGTTACAAGCAATGCGCTCCCTCGAAGCGATGAGATCTATAAGAAAGAATCACAAACCTCGATCCATATCGCCGCTAGCCCTTGCGCTAAAAGCCCCCCATTTTTTTAGGGCTCCTCGATTCAAATATCAAGATAGTTTGCCACGTGGGCGTTCTTGGATAAAAAAGTGACACGTCGGTTTATCGGTTGGAGTTTAAACCCTAATCCGCGGGTTTTTCCCCGAAATGTGGGCCGTTGGATTTCCCATCCAACGCATGGAATGCCGCCAATATGCTCAAACCGCCCCGTGGCTATGGCGCTGGTTTGAATGCGCGGCGCGGCGTGGAGCCAAATTCTTGGCGCAGCGACGGAATCCGGGCGCCGCTCAGGTACGCAATCTCGACAGCCAATCCTCTCTCAGGTAGATCTAGGCAGGATTGGAGTGTGGAATTCCAATCGCAGCATGGCTAGGTCGCGAGTCGCTCATCGCGAGCTCGCGATTTTGCGGATAGAGCAGATAGAGCGATCGATAAGTTCGATTTGTGTGTGCTTGGAATGGATTATAGAGCGATTGACTCACCGGATTTCTTTCTTTCTTTTTTTTTCTTCCTTCCAGATGTGGTGAGACTAAAAAATGGTCCTGGTAGCTTATGCTTACGCAGCGGCTGCCACACACATCTTTCACAGAGGATCGTTCTCTCAATGCTGGGGACCAATTCCGGGGGTCTTGGAGAGCTCGTTTTTTTGCTCGCAGCTCCAGGGACTTAGAGCGGCAACTAGTGGGATTTTTGGCCACAGGGTGGATCTCCAGCACTGCTGGAGCTGTAGATACGTGGAGGATGCACTGGTAGATTCGGACAAACAGTTAGCAGCGAAGGATAAACGAAAGGCAAAGGCGTCAACTTCTCCAAAGAAAGGTGGACGTCGCAAGAACACACAGATACCGGCAGTGGCCACTGAGGAGCTCGAGACTTTGTCGCCATCCATGACTTTGGATGAACTCTCGCTTAGGAACAGTCTCTCGGCTCTGCTTGAATCGGCCTACCGTCAACCAGCTTTTGAGCCGGTGCTACTACGGTCACTAGAGAGGTTTCACGGCGTGGAGGAAGAACAGCGAGCTTTGTCTATGGATTTGGTCAGCCAGCCTTTGATCGTCAAGCACCATAAGAAGCGTCGGCTTGGTCTGGAGAGCAGGATGGCCTTGCATAGGGAGCGTGTTGAGAAGCTGGCAAAGGATCGCGCTCCTTTGGCCAGTGAAGAGGTTGAAACTCCAGCGAAAGTTTCAGCTCCGCCGGGTTGTGAATTCGATCCGTGGTCTCAGGAGGCCGAGGTTCTTATCAAGGAGTATGGTGCCAGTGGAAGCATGCTAGTGCTCAACTGGGACAAACTTCCGCGGCTTCGCTTGACAGGCCCGGAAGAAGTTCGTCTTGCGTGGTTCATGGCCCCGGCAAAGGTACATATGCTCTACTTCTCTATGTTTTTCTTCTAAAACCTGTTTTCTATGCAGAGGCTCCAGCAAGTAAGACTAAAGTTTTTCGAGCATTTAAAGAGAGAGCCTTCCGAGGAAGAATGGGCCAAGGTGGCAGAGATGAGTGTACAGACGCTTCGGCGGCTGTTACAGTTGGGTCAGGCCGCAAGGAACAAGATGATCAAGGTTCACACATAATCTCGATATCCTGTTACTAGTTTCCAAGCCAGGATATCATGATCTCAGCCAGCACTGCTTGTTTTGCAGCACAACCTCCGGCTAGTAGCTCATCAGGCTCGTAAGTACTTCAAAGAGGAGCTCAGCTTATCTTTGCTCGACTTATGCCAAGAGGGTGTCCCGGGCCTCATGAGCGCAGTCGATAAGTTTGATCCAAAGAAAGGCTATCGCTTCTCGACTTACGCAGTATACTGGGTTAAAAACAGCATTCTCCGAGCACAAACAAGGCTGGGACACATCGTTAGAGTACCATACAACGTTGCTGCGGTAAGCCTTTTAGCTTTCTTCTTTCTCTAGAGCTCCGTGAGGTGACGAGGGACTCGTTGTTTTGTCCGGCAGCAAAAGATGACTATCCAGAGAAAGCGAGCTCAGCTGTCTCTCGAGCTCGACAGGGAACCAACGCACGAGGAGGTGATCACGGAACTTAAGATGGACTCGAGGAGATACTTTGAAGTCCTGAGGACGGGTGCTCCCAGGAGATCGCTAAATGCGCGCTCCAAAGTAACAGGAGAGGAGCTGATCCACAGCATCAGCGATCCAGACGAGAACGAGGCACAGTATTTCAACGCGGGAGCTCAACTTCGCCTTGGAATGGACGATGTAGTATGTTTCTCTTACACCTCTGTTCTTCTCTAACATTCTTTCTTGCAGCTAGATTCTTTGAAACCAAAGGAGAGCTTGATAATTCGCCAGCGCTATGGACTGGATGGAAAGGGCGAGAGATCGTTCACTGAGATTGGACGTAACCTCAACCTTTCAAGGGAGATGGTTCGAAAGTATGAGATTCGGGGAATGATGAAGTTGAAGCATCCGACTCGAGTTAAATATCTTAGAGAGTTTTTGTTGTAACTTCATTTTGTACAGAAAATGGAATCTCCTCCTTAATTCTTATGGTTTTCACAGTATTTTAAGCGCAATTCAGCTGTTTCAGTAATTTAAAATATGTGTCTAAAATCTTAAAAAAAAGGGCAGGTTCATTATAGTTTATCTTTAAAATTATTACCCAATCTGAGCTCATAAACAGATTTAACTACATCATTACTAAAACAGTAAGAGCGAAATGACACCAATAAAATTATGCCTTATAGCATGATTAAAAATTACACTTGATAATGATACAACATCATCAAGTAAATAGAAAAAAAAAATTCCAATGGTATAATCTTAGTTCAACTCTATTGAATTTGGTCTATCCATTGTTAGGCATTTCCTTACAGTGGCTTACTCTTTTTTATTAGTATTTTTTATTTTTTCTAGATCTTATAATTATTTTCAATACATTTTGCTTTTACATATTATATATTTGCCATCTCTCTATATTTATTGAGGAGCATATTTATTATATCAGCCATAGCAAAAATCAAATCCCAAACCTTCACTCATCGGATTTAAATTCAAAACCTACTATGCACATTGGATAGGCATTTAGGATTAACATAAAGCCATACCTTAATTAAAATTTTGGATTAGATGGGTTGGACTAGTTTGATTTCCAAAGCCTTTATAAAAGTAAAGTTTTGGAAATAGTGTTCAACAAAAATTTATCATTTATTTTTTATCTTTTTTCATAGTTTATTAATAGTTTCATTGTCTCCCCTCTTTTAAACAATAAACTCACAATTTGACCACTTTAATATTAATGGTTTTTTCATATCCTTTTCATCAAACTAGAAAGCCATTATTGGTGTTCAATAATTTGGTAGAGTTGCAAGTGAAGTGTTGTATTAAATTATTTCATTGTTTGATATAACTTTTGTAGAGTATCAAGATTCAAAGCTAAAAATGTGTATGTAAGTAAAAATTTTCCTCAACAAAATGAGATAAATATGTGAATCAATATATAGTATAGCCAATACTCTACTTTGACTTATTATGTAGTCTTCATCAAATCTTTTATTACTAGCATACCTATTTCTTGGTTTTCCACCTTTTTTGAAAAAAGTGATCTTGTTCTTTAGGATTTCAATCTCTTTATTCAATGCATCACCAACATATTTAACAATATTAATCAAGAGTGCACCACCATTAATAAATTCTAGCAATTGTGCCAAGGCTCCAAAATCTATATTTGCCTTTGCATCAAAGTTTTAATGGTTACCACCAATATTTTATGGGACAATCCAACCCTTAAAGAATATTTTCACCTTGGCATTGCAAAAATAACAATTGGAGTGTCATCATTAAACTTTTGTTCTTTGTCCAACAATCCCAGTCTTGGAGTAACTAACACATAAGCAAAACACAAATTCTAATGGAGAATAGAGCTATATGTCAATGGCATTTTATCAATGTTGAATGATAATGTTGAATAAAAAACCACCTTTATATGTATTATGAAGATGTAGACCATTTCATTTTTGTCTCTATGCTCATCCTCAAACTTGTATGATGGATACAACATTTGTGATTCCAATTAAACTAAATGAGTCATCTACTTTTTTTCATCTTAGCTCCATTTCTTCTTCATGGATCTCCATGACTTTCTATATTATTATTCATTAAGACCAATTGCTCTTTTCAAGATTTAGGCAAGAGTAGAGTTAATATAAACTTGATCACTCTCTTAAGTCATAGATTGAAGCAGTTGAGGCCACTAATCCATTTTTTAAAAAAACTTGATAATCAATTTTTTTAGTGCTTCTCCAACCCAACATAGTGATTATTAATTTCTTTAATTTTGGGACAAATTTATGCTCAGCTGTATATATTTGATGGCAAAATATAGTTGCATATTGTCCAAGCATATCATAATATCTTGTAAGATATTAGAATTTTTTCAATAACAATTTTGGTGGCTTTATATTTAAAAACTTTATCCTTACCATCTATATGTTTTAGCAGACCAAAATGCCTTTACATGTTTCATCTAGTCTTCTTGAGGGTGGTCCAAAGTTGAGTTGAGCTCAGCTTCACAAAAGTCAATACAGTTAATCAAAAGTTTTATAAAGGAAATTTAAATTGAAGTTCTAATGAAATTAAAATATTAAATATGTAAGTACATGTGAGTAAGGCTTTTTCTACCTATACTCACATTTTTGCCCCTCCATATAAAATAGTGACAAATAAACAAAGACAAAAACATAGAAAAAAGAAGAAGAAAAGAAGAATAGAAGAGTAGAAGAGAATTCAACCTCAAACCCCAAAAGCGTGACTAAAGATAAGCATATGTCACTCTTTCAACTCTACTTTGCACAAACAGTCATAGATAGGAGAAAAAAATAGTTAATTCAATATAAATGCATATAGGAGTGAGTGGGGGTTGTTTTCCAGTGCATCTAAGTGCTATTTATATATTATATGATTTTAAAACCATTCTTAATTGCTTCATGTTTATCTATGACATGTGTTGCCTAGGTTGGGTCTTTCTTCTTTGAATACTTACACTTAGGTGTAACTCCATTTTGTTTA